ACAATGGGTAAATTTAATTGAAAAAGGGATTCTGTAAAGGTACACTAGATTATATTTTTATATTTGTACTTAGAAATAATGTCAGAAAATTGGAAACAACATGTAATCAAAAATGGGACAAAATATTTAGTGTAATTTAGTGAAATTTTTGTGAGGAAAAAGAAGGTAATGAAATAAATGAGAGAATTGAAGTAGAAGAAATGGGAACATCCTAATGAAATAATGATTTAAAATATGTGATGTGGGGGGGAAATAATTATGGAAAGTATAAGTGTTCCCATAAAAATATGATATTTAATTGGAAAGTAACGTGTAAAGTGTTCAAGATATAAATGAATATTAATATTAATGATTAGATCTGTATTGGCATTAATAGCTGTTTTGACTACATCATATACCTATAATTTCCTTTTTTCCTTTTTCTTTATAAAAAACATTGAGTAATTTTAGAGAATAAAATTGTGAATGGAATAAATGAAATGTAATAAATGAGAGAATTGAATTAGGAAGGAACGGGAACATTTTAATTATCCAATGTTTTATAAAATATAAGTGAAGTGGGGAGGAATTAACTATGGAAAGTGTATAAGTGTTCTCATAGAAGTATGATACGTATCTGAAAAGTAATGGGTAAAAAGTTAAGATTTAAATGAATATTAATACTAATGATAGAATTGAATTAGTATGGATTGTTGTTTTAATTATATTATACATTTATAATTTTTTCCTTTTTTAAAATATAGTGTGTAATTCTAGAATGTACCAAACAGAATCCCAATGGAAGTCATGTATTATATTAAGTGTTATAAATTTAGGGGAAAGAGTTAAAGGCGTCATACTCCAATCAGTGTACAGGAGAAACTTTGTTTAAAGAGAAAAGATAAATGGATAGCTGGAAATAGAACAGACAAAGAATAATAAGTATTATCATTTGAACTGAGATGAGATAAATAAAATAAAATTAAGAAAGTTAAAAGAGGTGAGAAGTTATATAGAAAATTGAAAGTGGTAATAAGATATGGAATGGTATATAAAATGAATATGAATTTGAATTTGTGTCTGTACGAAGAGTTGTAACCCGGGATCAAACAACTTTCAGAAAAGATGTTCTATGTTTTTATGTTTTGTTTTTGTGTAAAAAGTTTTATGTATTTATGTTTTGTGGTTTGTTTGTCTATGTCTGAATTAATCCAATTTTAGAAGAATGTAAGAAGAACATTGGAAGAGAATAATGAAATTGTAAATAAGACAGATGGATATAAAGAATATATATAATCTAAGGCAAAAAATATATAATTGAATAGTGGAAGGAAAGGGAGAAATAAAGAGAAGTTGGGATAAGATATGAAGTTGAATAGATAAGATAAATATATAATATTAAATTGTGTTTGTATGGAAATGTGATAACTTGGAATTATTCTGTCTTTAAATAAGATGTTTTATTGGTTTTTTTCAGAAAAGATGCTTTATGTTATTACATTCTACGTTTCTTTGTTTATGTATTGTTTTTTTAAAAATTAATAAAATTTGTTTTTTAAAAAAAGAGTAGAATTGGAAAAAATCTGGCGATGTCGCGATGAGACCAGAAGCAGGGAAAGAAGGTCTCCGTTCTTGTGCTGGCTTCTCTTCATTTGTGGGTTCCGGACGGAGCCAAAAGCCGCCTTGGAGGGGCAGCGAAGCAAAGGAGAAGCGCTCGGTGAGATTTCAGGGGAGAACGCAACTCCCCTGTAGAGTCCCCAAGATTTTTCTCTACACCACGATGGAGAGAATACCAGGCCAAGATGGACGCTTCAAAGTTGGGACAGCTGATGAATACTTAAGCGCAGCACTGGAGTGAGCTCTGCATTTGGCAGACTACTGACTATTCCACCGTGGAATAAGCCTTGCTACAAAAGTCAAAGTCTACCAAGAGTGCTGGTTAACTACCCTGATGTATGTCAGTGAGACTTGGACTGTATACAGGAAGCACGCTAGGCAATTGAACCATTTCCAAACAACCTGCCTCCACAGACTTGTGAGGATCCGGTAGCAGGACAAGGTGCCAGACCCAGAATTCCTCTCCAGAGCAGGCCTGCCATCAGTTCACACCCTGCTGATTAAAGCCCAGCAGGCCATGTTGCAAGGATGCCAGATCACCGCATCCCCAAACAGCTCCTCTATGGTGAGCTGTCTCAAGGAAAGCAACCGCATGGGGGACAAAGGAAGTGATACAAAGATACGTTGAAAGCCTCTTTCAAATCCCTGGATATCAATACCATGTCCTGGGAAACCCTGGCACAAGATCAATCAACATGGCACACGTTGATCCACCAAGGCCGCCAGACATTTGAAGATAGAAGAACAACCATAGCACAAGAGAAGCAAGCACTCCACAGAGCCAGAGCTGCAAATATTGCACTAATGGTGCCCATTACATGTCTGCCCAACATGTGGCAGAACATTTCATGCCCTAGAAACCTTACCAGCCACCTGCGGACATACTGTGAACAGCCCACAACCTGTTAGATGTCAATATCTTCTTCAAATACAATGGACGATCATCATCATATCTGGCACCATTTACTACTCACGCAGTCACATTCTGCACCAGCTGGCAGTTTCCTCATGTGGAGTGTATTACAATAGTCAATCCAGGAGGTTACAACAGCATGAATTATGTCACTAGGGCCTTCCAGTCTAAGTATGGGTGCAACTGGTACACCATCTGAAGATATGCAAAAGCCCTCATAACCAGGGGTGGGATTCAAATTTTTTAACAACCAGTTCTGTGGGTGTGGCTTAGTTGGTGGGCGTGACTTGGTGGTCATGTTATTGATTGGGCGTGACCAACTCAATATCACTCACATCGAGACACGTATCTCCTTGCCTGGCCTCTCATGACTGTGGGGGTGCTGCAACAGTCATAAGTGTGAAAAATGATCATAAGTCACTTTTTCCAGTGCCATTGTAACTTTGAATGGTCACTCCACACAAGCAAAGTACCAGCAAAGGTGGGGGGAAAAACTCCAGAGAAGTTCCTGAGATAGGAAGTGTAGTCCTGCCAAGAAGGTAATAAGGGTTAACGGAGAGGCAGTTTCTGTAAGGAACACCAGAATGTTTCCTTCCTGCCTTCCTTACAGGATTAGGCCAGTAATTTCTTCTAACAACCAGTTCTCTGAACTGCTTAGAATGTTAACAACCAGTTCTAGTGAATAGGTGCGAACTGGTAGAATCCCACCCCTGCTCATAACTATGGCTATACCACCTGCTCTTCAAACAGGAGCCCCACGTTGTGTACCAGGTCTGTTTGTGGCATTGCAACTCCATCCAGAACCAGAGATGGAAGAAACTTGGGGGGGGGGGGCAAACCTACAACCATTCTTTCTTACTCAGGTTGAGTCACAAATACATACAAAATATGACATTTATGTCCAGGTTCCTTTTAACATTATTCTAAATTTGTAGTTGATTCTCAAATAAATTATATATTCTTTCTGAACTGAAGGGGTTTTGAATGCTTGGAGTTTCAATTTATTAAAGATACTTTAATATTATTTTCATAGACACTTTTTCCTGAACCTAAGTTTGTCACTTCAAAGTGCAAAAAATTCTTACAACATAAAACATGACTTGTATATGTATGAAACAAAACAGTTCAGATTTTAAGTGGGGTAGAGGTGACTACCGTCTTTTCTTACAAGTGTTTGGAGACTGTTTTGAAACCCATATAATTTGACTTAAATTTTCAGTGTTGCTAATGAAGGTTTGAAATTAACTCTTACTTTTCAATCTTGTAACCACTAAGAATAATGGAAAATATGCTATCTCAAGGTAAGTATTTAGTCACTTGTTTACATCAGGGTCCATTTTAGAAGACATGACAGAAAATACATTATCAGAATATATATGTAACTCATATTCAAGTCATTAAACAATAAAACATCTAAGAATGCATTACAGCATGTCCTAGCTCTACTGAATAGTACATTCCATTCCATCCTTGGCAGATTCTCAAAAATCTTTTTCATACATTAGTTTATTCCACATCAGGACATTGTTACAATGAAATATAGTATATTCTCTAATCACTAACAATTAGAAAACAATGGTGTATTGGATATTCTGATTTAAGGAGCTATAACTCAAAAACACAGTTGTGAATAAACTGTTTACAGACAGAAAAACGGCACATCACTGGAAAATTTGCATCAATTCTTAGTAAAAACGCATTAATATATCTGCTCCTGCACAAAATTAAAGGCATCTAATTTATATTGCCTCTTTTTTTTTACTAAGAATTGACACGAATGCTTAATACATTCCTATAAATAAAATAATATGCTGGCAAAGATAGGACATATTTGAAAAGGAACTCTTTGGGATACTTTCTTTTTGGTGGGCACATAATCCTATGAGCTCATAGCTGAAATCGAGCCATATCAAACTTAATGGGACCTAGCCAAAGCTGTGGAAAGATTTTCCTTAAGTTAGCAGGCCTCTGATATTAATAAAGATAGTCGAGTTGCATTTATATTTCTAATTTGCCCAAGTTCTTAAATATTCAGTTAACATTTTTTTTAACAAGCACACTGAACCATACACAATCAACACTAAGCCAAAATGCAATGAACTTTGTGGTGGGTACAGAATGTCTTGTCAGACAATTATCGGACAAGGCTAAAACAAGTCCTACAAAGGGAGAACCTAATCTGGACAACTTAAATTAACCTAGCATGAGTAGAAGCCTGCCTTTCTGGATAGCGCAGTGTCCTAAAACGATAAACTGAAACAATGGCGCCTTAACAGATGTGGCTCGGAGGAGGCCGGCGCTTGAACCCTTTCAGCAATACCTCCCATTCCTTAGAGAGAGGGAAACTGCGTCAGGATTCGCACACCTTCCGGAGCCGGCCTCCTGAAGCGTCCAATTACTCCCTTTTAAACCACCGAACATTTCCCAGGGAGAAAAAGAACCAGTCTCCGTATTCTATGCCAAGTAAGCGCGCGGATTTTCTACCGCGTACCTGAGGAAACTCTGAAGCGCCACCGCCGGGACTTCCGCGGCCCGAAGTTTGTTCCTCGCTGATCTTCTGCTTCAGTTTTTTGAACATGACGACGGTCGGCTATAGTAAACGAAAGGAAGGTACGGCCGGACGAAAGCCTTCCCTTTTGCAAGCATCAAACCGGTCCCAAAACCACTTTCCTTCTTCGAAGATTCACGGAAGTAATGACAACAGCAGACTACAACGATCTCCCTACCTCCGCGTTACCTTTTTACCCCGTTTATAAGCGTCAGCTGATCAAACAATGGTTACAACGCATGCGTGAGCAACGTGAACCAGTTTTTAAAAAACAAGCTTTCAAGGCTAAGCAACTACGGCAAAGGCCGAAGGCCGAATTTCCTCCACAATTAGCCCGATTTAAGTTCGTCTGTTTCACCACCAAGATTGCTGTTCCAGATCCCAACGAATCGTCATGCTGATCTCGGACTTGGTCTGCACAAGGGGTATTCCGGTAATAGATTTATGACTTCATATATCTTCTATGTTATCTATGTTAATCTTCTCATTACTCCTTAACACCCATCCCCTCCCAACTTGTGATTGTAGGACTGTAACTTTGTAGCTTGTATCCTTACGATTTATATTGACTGTTTCCTAGTATGATTTGATTGCTGATTGTACCCTATGACTATCATTAAATGTTGTACGTTATGATTCTTGATTCTTAACGAATGTATCTTTTCTTTTATGTATACTAACAGTATTTACACCAAGAGAAATTCCGATGTTTAACTCGGAAGTAAATCCTAAACAAATTCATGAAAAAAAAATGCATTCAAACAAATTCATTCCTCAATCTGACCATGATGCTTTTCCATAAATAATGGACTTGGCTCATCAAGATGCACATCAAACTTGGGCAAGTTTCTCTACGTAAATGACCTCTGTGATCATATTAAGAGCAATTGCGTTCTCTTCGCTGATGATGTAAAGCAGTGGTCGGGGAACAGGGGTAAATTACCCCAAATGGGGTAAAACTGAAAATCCTGGGGGTAATGAGGACGGTCGCGCTGGCCGACCGTTCTCATTACCCCCAGGCATTTTATTTCTGACATTCTGTTCGTCTTCGGTGAATGCTGCTGGGATCGGGAATCAAGGACACAAATGAGAGAAGGGGAGGGAAGAAGCAACAGAAGCCTGTCCTGCTCTCTGGCTCAGCAGCTTCGGTTTCCTCCCGCCTCATTCCTCTCTCGGTCGCTCTCTCGCTCCTCCACCAGCCCAGGAAGAAAGTGCTTCAAAGAAGCGGGTGTGTGTGTGTGTGAACGGGCGCTTCGGAGAAGCTGCGCTCCGAAACCACCAGAAACGAAGGCAGGCAGGCAGAACGGAGGATTGAACCGTGGGCGGCGGGGTGGGGGTGAACGGGCGCTTTGGGGAAGCTGCGCCGACAGGAAAAGCCACCCTGCCGGCTTCTTTGAAGCAGTTTCTTCCTGGGCTGGTGAGGAGTGAGAGAGCGACTGAGAGAGGAACGAGGCAGACACCTGAGGGATGGGGCTGAGGGAGGGAGGGAGACACCTGAGGGATGGGGCTGAGGGAGGGAGGGAGACACCTGAGGGATGGGACTGATGAAGGCAGGGCCGAGAGGCGAGGCTTCTCAGCCGTCCTGCAGGGACTATCTGTCGCTCAGGGTTGCAATGAGGAGGCATTGGCGTTCCCTGAACTTGGTGGTTTGCTGGCAGACGTTTTATTACCCGACTAGGTAACAACATCAGATGTTACCTAGTCAGATAATGAAACGTCTGCAAGCAAACCACCAAACTCGGACTCTTTCTCCTCCCCCCCCCTCCTTGAAAAAGTGTTTCTGAGTGAAACTGGTCCCTGGCACAAAAAAGGTTGGGGACCACTGGTTTACATACAAATAGTGTATGATTTCCTTCCTTTCAAATCAAGGGGGTAACGTCGGCGTTTATAAATTTTTTGGGGGGTAAAAGGTAAAAAAGTTCCCTGACCCCTGATGTAAAGCAACACCGCGGACAATACTGCTACCCTTCAAAAAGATCTCCACTATGTATCAGAATGATAGGATCATTTGGGAGCAAATGGCAACTTCAAATCTCAACAAATAAATGCTCTGTCTTACATATTGGCAAAAAAAATCAGAAAATAAAATACAAGCTGAATAGTCAAGACCTTGTTGATGATCCAAACTCGGTCAAGGACCTTGGAATACTCATGACCTAAGTGCTAGAGCCCACTGTAACTACAAAGCCAAAAAGGCATTAAGAGTTGTTAACCTAATCCTGCGTAATATCTGGTAATATCACACTACTAACTAGAGCACAGGTGTCAAACTCAAGGCCCACGGGCCAAATGTGGCCCGCCACATCATTTTATGTGGCCCGCGAGAGCTACAAAGTTCCGATTGTCTTTAAATAAATAAAGCAAAAGAGAGCATTCACCACAAACTACATTTCCCAGAATGCATACCAATTATGTTACCAGTGAATTGTTGACATCCCGCCACTAGGTTGCAGTCTATCCGCATCAATGTTATTTTCTGCAAGTTGAATTATGTGGAATTACAAATGATCCCAAAATGTCCAGGAAGAAGAAAGTTGATGCAGATGGAAAGATGTTTCAAGAAAGATGGGAAGGTGAATACATGTTTGTGCTTCAAGGAGAGAAACCGGTATGTCTTTTATGTTACGAAGCATTATCAGTTGTCAAAGAGTACAATCTACGTTGGTATTTTGAAACCAAACACAGAGCTAAGTATGCCAAAGTTAGCCTTTCAGAAAAACGACAGATTGTTGAAGAATTAAAAAGCAAACTACAATTGCAGCAGAATGTGTTCACGAAAGCCACAACCAAAAACACTGTGGCAGTGAAAGCTAGCTTCATCATTGCAGAAGAAATCGCCCGAGCTTCAAAGTGTTTTTCAGAGGCGTGTTTTTGAAGCAGTGCATGCTGAAGGTCTGTGAGCAGGTGTGCCCCGACCAGATACAGACTTTTAAAAATGTCAGTTTATCAAGGAACACCATTGTGGACCGAGTTACAGAACTAGCAGGAAACCTGTCAACGCAGCTGGCCCAAGAGACACGTAGCTACATAACTTTTTCATTAGCTCTTGATGAAAGCACAGACAACATGGATACAGCGCATCTATCCATTTTTATTTGAGGCATGAAGTCAGACCTCTCTGTCACTGAGGAGCTGTTGGATGTAGCTGCCATGCATGAGACCACAACGGGACAGGACATTTTTGATATGGTGGAGAAGTCCATGAGTAAAAATGCATTGCCTTGGGAAAAGTTGGTGGGATTAACTACAGACGGTACACGTGCAATGTGTGGAGGAAAAGCGGGCTTGGTTGGACTAATAAAAGACAAAATGCTGAAAAGTAATTGTCAGACGCCTCTGGTAACGTATCATTGCATCATTCATCCAGAAACGTGTGGGAAGGTACTGGGGATGGATCATGTAGTGACCACAGTCATGAAAACTGTGAACTTTATTCGAGCGCGGGGCCTGAATCATCGTCAGTTCCAGCTGTTCTTGCAGGAGATGGGCTCAGAGCATGGAGACGTGCCATACCATACAGAAGTATGGTGGCTGAGTAGGAGTAAAGTCCTCAAACGATTTTTTGAACTTAGGGAAGATATTGCTCTTTTCATGCTAAGTAAAGGAAAATTCGTGTCTGAACTGTCAGATCCCAACTGGCTGTGGGACTTTGCTATGTTATGTGACATAACCGAGCATCTCGCCCAACTGAATCAGAAGCTGCAGGGACGTAGACAAGTCATTACGCAGATGTCCGACATGATCACGGCTTTCCAGTGTAAACTTGATCTGTGGATGTGCCAAGTCAAACAGGACAATCTTGCTCACTTTCCTGTTTGTCAAAGCATTTCAGCCTCATTTCCCGGTGTTTTTTTATGTGCTCAGTTGGCTACCAAAGTGAGCCGATTAACAAATGAGTTTGATCGGCGCTTCTCTGACTTTAAAGCGCAGCACTCAGACTTCGCCATCTTTGCCGATCCTTTCACCACCGACGTCTGCCCTGCACCCCAGCACCTTCAGATGGAGTTAATCGAGCTTCAAAGCAATCGTAGCCTGAAAGCAAAGTTCAAGGATGTTGCGATCCAGGACTTTTACCATAAAATGCCCCCTGGTTCAATGCCACAGCTTCGACGTCATGCAGCCTGTGTTCTGTCTATGTTTGGGAGCACCTATCTGTGCGAACAGATGTTTTCAATAATGAATCTAAACAAAAACAAGCATAGATCATGTATCACTGATGAGAACCTCCACACTGTTCTACGGATTGCTTCAGCACAAGACTTAAAACCAGACATTGACACACTGGCTACGGAAAAACGGTGTCAAAGATCCAGCCAGAAAATGCATAAGTAAGCATTTTTAAAAACCTAATTAATATATAATAAAATGTATTTCAATCAAGAAGAAGAATAGTTAAACTGTGCAATTTAATGATTGTGCTGACATTTTGTTATTTTTAGAACATGATCAATGGATTATGATGGAGGAGAGGGGATCCACTCTGTGTGTTCCAGGACAGTCAGCATCTTCTCATGAACTTCACCTAAAAACTTGAGACAATATAGTTGTGAATTGAGGCAACCCTGATTTTGTTATTTTGAGTTATTTACAAATATAACTTTATATGTGTAGTAATGCATTTAGTGTTTATAGGTTTATATGTTTATGCAGACAAATCTGCAAGGCTATATGCAGCCATTTGTTTTTGTGAAATGCTACATCTGTCACATATGTTCTTAACAGCTCACAATTGTTGGTTGTACTTATTCTGTTATTCTGCCCCTCCTCGCTGTGACAAAAAGGATTTGAACAAAATTATTATCATAACTGATGTTGGATGATGTTTTTCTATTATTATTCACTTGGATAGATTGATCATTGATTGATGGAGTAATGTGGGTTTCTTAACTTGACAAAGTAAATTTTTTATGTTATATTAACAGAGGTACTAGCAATCTATTTTTACATTTATGCAAATGCCTATGTAATATTTGTGATTTGAATAAATAATAAATTCAGAGTTAATTAACATTTAGGAGTAGTTATATTTGATTACATTTATACTGTCTGTTAGGAATAACATAGATTACCTAACGTAGTTTGGGTAAAATAATATATATAGACTATGATAGTGAATTTAAGTGTGTGTCACTTTAACTGCAAAGCATGTAATTTTGGGTGCGGCTGTAAATCGCCATAAGAGGGAGCAAGAGAACTTGATTGATTGCTGGCTTACTGGATTGCTTGCTGACGATGATGGCTTGATGGTGTGATAACTGCGTGTTGCTGAAGGAAGAAAAGAGGTTTGACTTCTTCATATCTCTACTGTGTAGAGATATATTACTGGACTGATATTAGTAAGTTTACTGACCTCTTTTTCGACACTGGACTTTGCAACTGAATAATCCCCGGACGGACTGAACTAGTGTATGATATATGGACTGTTTGACTATGCTATAACTATTACTGGAATAAACTATTTAACTAGCACATTGTATCTGTTTTACTGAGTGTAAGCTACAAGACTGTTTATCTCACATATTTGCCTGCCTGCCTGACTGCCGTGCAGGTTCTGCTAGGGTGTATATCCCTAACACTGGTTATGGACCCAGCTGCACAGTCAGACTAACCAGGATATAACAAGCTTATATAAAGTGAGAGTTTGTGTAGTTACACAATACTGTAAACAGACAGCTGTGTTTTATTAATTATAGTTTAATATCCAGAAAAAGATGGCACAAGTCAATTTACAAAGTTTGTCTCTAATATCCAAACTGGGTGGAATAAACTATGTTTCATGGTCTATGAAATGCAGCCTACTTCTACGCAGAGAAGGTTTGTGGAGTATAATTCAAAACCCACCAGAGGTAGATGCTTGGGATCCGGAAGATGAGGATGATGCCCAGAAAATACAAGAATATAAAGTGAAGAATGAGCAAGCTCTCTATATAATAGGACTGACACTCTCTGACCAGCAGCTTGTCCATATTCGTGGAGAAGAAACAGCTGCGAAATGTTGGGAGAATTTAAAGAAGATTTATATTCGAGACAGTGTAGGAGCACATATAAATCTTACACGGAAACTGTTCAGAACACATCTTCAAAAGAATGGAGACATGTTGACTCATATAAACACAATGAAGAGAATTTTTCAGGAACTGCATGAAAAAGAACTTATCTTCACAGAACTACATCAGGTTTATATAATTTTGTCTTCGTTAGATGAGAGCTATGACGACTATGTAACTTCACTGGAAGTACTGCCAAAAGATAACCTCACATTAACTGACATTACTGGCAGATTAATTGAAGCCAGGAGAAGGCTTGAAAGGGATCAATTCAGAAGGGAACCACAAGAAGATAAAGAATCTACGACAGCCTATACAATTAGAAAATGTTTTAATTGTGGAGGAAAAGGACATTTGGCTAGATTCTGTAAGAAAGGAAAACGCCACAATGCCAGCCAGAATGCTAAAAGGCATCAAAAGGATAAAAAATGCTTAGAGTTAGCCATGTATAGCTACGAAACTGTGAATAATAATTTATGGGTTGTAGAAAGTGGAGCATCGCACTGCATAACGAAAGATAAGAAAAGATTTGTTAAGATGTCCACGAGTTCACAGCAGATATCGTTAGCTAATGGTTGGAAAATGAAAGCAAAAGGTGAAGGTATTGCACATTGTTCTTGCATAAAAGAAAATGTAAAAATGTTATATGTACCACAACTTAAGTTTAATTTGCTTTCGGTTAGAGTTTTGGTTAAACTAGGTTATGTAGTTACCTTTAGGGGAGACAACTGCATAATAGAAAAGGAAGGTAAAAAAGTGACTGCAACTTTAAAAGGTGAATTGTATGTGTTAAATGATAATCATTAGAGGTAGATAACACAGTTTATAATAATGTTAAACCTCATGATGAATGCATACATTTGTTACACAGACGTTTAGGGCATATAAATTTTAAAATGCTCAAACAAACGGTTGAACTGTCTGAAGGTATAAAACTGAAGCCTTGCAGTAAGTATTTGCACAGCAATGCTTGTAGTCAAGAAAAAAGCAAGGTAATACCAGCAAATAGAATAAATGGATTTAAAACTAAGGAGCCTCTAGAGGTCGTATTTGCTGATATTATAGGTCCTAAAAAACCAAGTGTGGGAGGTGCTCATTATATATTAAGCATAATGGATCATTATTCCAGATATGGTTTCTGTTATTTAATGAAGAGTAAAATGGAAACATATCAGAATTTCTTTAATTGGTTGAAGTGTGCAGAAAGAAAAACTAAAAGGAAACTAGTAACTCTTGTAACTGATAATGGTACGGAATTTATAAATAATAAATTCCAAAATAGACTGAAGATGGCAGGTGTTGAACATAAAAAGTCTGCACCATATAGGCCACAACATAATTCCTTTATAGAAAGACGAGGCCAAACAATACAGGCAATGGCTCGTACTATGTTGTCAGATTCAGGATTACCTGAAACTTTGTGGGGAGAAGCAATAATGTGTGGTAATCATATATTGAATAATGTTGTTAACTCAACAACAGGTGAATTACCATTCACACGGTGGCATGGTAGAAAACCTGACCTAAGCTACATGCACACATTTGGAGCACCAGCATGGGTGCATGCTGAGACATAAGGGGCAGCATAGGGCTAAAAAGTTATTCTTTGTAGGTTATGAATCTAATCATAAATCATACAGATTCTGGGAAAAAGGTACACCTAGAGTTTACTGTAGTGCTAGTGCACACATTCCTTGAACATGTAGGATGGGAAAAACTGGAGCAAGATTCAAGTAAGGATGTAATCATAGAAACCTACAAAAGACCAAAACCACATATCAGTAATAAGAAGAGTACAATTAAAGAGGAAGTACAGGAAGAACACATAGGACCAGAACAGGAAGAAATAGTTGAACAGGAAGAAATAGATAACCAGGAACAGGTAGTACATGAAAGTCCACCTGTAAGCCCTGTAATACCTAGACGATCAACACGTGAAACCAGACCACCTGACAGGTACCAAGCAAGTGTAGTTTGCCAAGTTAGTAAAGTTCCAACTACTGTTGAAGAACTTAGAATGTATCCAGTAAAGGAACAAGAAAATTGGCATAGAGCAATGGAGAAAGAATTAAATTCATTGAAACAAATGGAAGTTTATGAAAATGTTAAATTACCTCCAGGTGAAAAGTCCATTGGCTGTAAATGGATATTTAAATTAAAAACAGGTAAAAATGGGACTGTTACCCATAAGGCTAGGTTGGTAGCTCAAGGATTTAATCAAACTGCATGTGATTATGATGAAGTATTTGCACCGAGTCTAAAAGCAACAACCTTGAGAGCAGCTTTAGTGTGGGCAGCTAAGAAGAATTATATTATAAATCACTTAGATGTAGAAACTGCCTATCTGCATGCACCATTGCAGCACACTATATACTTAAAGAAACCTGTAGGAATTAAGGATGATAAAACTAATAATGACTGTTGGAAGCTTAAAAAGAGTCTCTATGGATTAAAACAATCTGGTTACGAATGGAACCAATATATTGTTAAGGAGTTAAACAATATAGGGTTTAAAGCAGGTTTAGCTGATCCATGTGTATTTAAGAGAGAGAAAAATGGAATAGTGTCATTATTATTGTTGTTTACAGATGATATTGCCTTAATTACAAAAACTAATAATGAAGCTACTGAAATAATATCATTATTAGGTAAGAGGATAAAATTAAAGCAATTAGGAGAGATAAAACAGTATCTAGGATTGACAATAAATAAAACCAAAAGTGGCTATAAGATATCTCAAGAGGATAAGATTTGTCAATTACTAAAAACAATCAAGGTGGAACTTTGTAAACCGGCTAAAACTCCAATGAGTCAGGAATTTGGGCACACTGATGCTCAAAGTCCAAAATTCGATAAGACTATTTATCAATCACTAATTGGTAGTTTATCGTACATTAGTAATTGGTCAAGGCCAGATATTGCCTATGGCGTTAATCAATTGGCAAGATTCAATGCTGAACCTACTGAACGACACTGGCAAGCGACAAAACGTATATTAAGATATCTTAAAAGGACAATGCACTATGCATTGTATTTGGAGCCAAAAGATGATTTGATTTTAAGTGCATATGCTGATGCAAGTTTTGCAACAGACATAAACACTAGGAAATCAACTTTAGGCACGGCTATACTATTAGGAAAAGCACTGATTGGTTGGAGGTCAATTAGACAGCAACACATAAGTATGTCCACAATGGAAGCAGAATTTTCATGTCTATCTTTATTATGTACTGATTTAATTCTGTATAAACAGTTGTTATTGGATATGGGAATAACTGTTAATGA